TCGCGAACCGCTGGTCTACACTCTTGTTTTAACCTAGAAAACGGGCCACTATAATCAATATCAATACCTGGGCAATTTAATCATTTAGCAATCTGATACTTTAATGTTTGCTTACCTTAATTAGTTCGAATGTTTGGAATTCTGTGTTTCAATTGTGGTAATGAAAAACTGTGCGGGTACCGAGTAAAGCTTGTTTCGATGTATCTATTGAAATAATTTCAAGCGATATATTTGGTTCTCCTTTAACATGTTATATTTAATACAGGGTAATGCGTTGCTCTTTCTTTTCATATGGCCTCTATTATTTGGGCAAACACGAAGAATGTTTTCTTAATGATAATCAGTTTGTTATAGTTTGATATATTTGTCGTACCCCACACGAGTATTCCATAACTGATCTTAGAGTAAAACAGGGAATAATATAACGTAACTTTTAATGAAATGGGTGTCAAATTTTGTATTTTTATATATTGCAGTTACAGCTCAAGAAGGTAGGGAGAGGAACGCTGGGGAGGAGGAAGCAGACGGAACGCTGGAGAGGAGAGGGGGAAAGCTCGTCTCCTTCCTCCTCCCCGGCCTTCCTTTCCCTCCCCCTACTTTCTGATACAACCCAATGCAAGCTAGAGAAGACAGACAGTGCGAGGGCGTCACCTCACGCGCAAAATACAAATATCACAAATCTCAAATATTTTTTTTTTACTTCCGATAGACGATGGGAACTATTGGGGCAAATACGTATTTACAGCGTTGTGGAAGTTGCGTATCTCGCGTCAAAAATGCGCAAACTTGACCCCTTTGGCGTTTTCTCACTAAATTCTTTAGCCGTTATCTGGAGAAATTTATTAGCTGCAACATTACACTTCTTTATATCAGTGTGTCGAACCGAAAAAAATACGGGTTCGGTTCAGGTTCAGGTAAATTTATTTTGTTCCGGTTCAGTTCCGGTTCGATTGATTCGATCCGCGAACCGGTTCGGAAATTATAAATGACAAATTGCAACATCAAAATAAATTACAAATAAAACATCTGAAATCAGCGCATACGAAACGGGATACATCGTAGTGTAAGACTCAGGGATTTCTACCAGGAATGGTTTCTTTATGTGCACTCAAAGGTTACCTCACCGACGTTTGCGCATTCGGACTTCATCTAATTGGGTCCGACGCAGTAGCTATAAAATCTGCGACCTCCTTACAAACCCACTTACAAGTAGAACTCGCTAACTATCCCGCCACCTCGGCGTGTAAGCAATTGAAGGAACAGTGGGGAGAAAATACAGCTTTCTTTATTTGAACTAGCCCTCGGTAACTCAAATTAGACCCTTAAAGAAGTTTTCATTAAACAAGATACGGAATATGAAAAACACTTCACCGAACGCAACGCCAGAAGGACGTAATAGGATAAATATTAAAATAGAAGAGTTCGCTGTCTCACAAATATGTTAGCTTCTAAGTGCCTATACGAAACCGGATGCATTATTATCAAACTCCCCACAGCCTTTTCTTTTCTCATTCCGATGGAAGCAAGCTTCAAGAACTCGCGCGTTCTAGAAACGTGTTATGAAATGAGCACACAGCAGCATTTAGGATTTACGAGATTGTAGGAAAATGAAATCCCGTGACGCGATTTTTTTTCTTCTTTTTTTTTTTTGCACAGCCCTCTAATTCTCTTTCTTCCGTGCAAGCCGCGACCAGCGCAATACTGGTTCCTATGTCAAGATTCATGGATGCAGCGTTTATATTCCTAAGACTGAGTGGAGAAGAAAAATATGTAAGCGAGGTGTGTGTCAGTTGACGGCACTTAAAAAACAAATGGCATTGATAGCACATTCATTGTCAACAGCGCGTGGCCGAACCGTTTTGACATGAGCCGGTAACCGTTTTTTTTTTTTTTTCCGGTTCAGTTCCGGTTCGGGTTCATCGCGATAACAATATAACGGTTCGGGTTCGGGTTCAGTTCCGGAAAAAATACCGGTTCGGTTCCGGTTCGGTTCGGGTTCGACACCCTGCTTTATATATTCTTATGGAAACGCTATTTCGAATAAAATAGCAATCATTGTTTGATCTGAAAGATTTATATTTTTATGGCACTCCAAACTTGTCATAAAGTACGAAGTTAAAAATTTCAAGCAGAAATTAAAAAGAAAGATCTTGGATTTTCTTAAAAATCATAGTGATATTTCTTCACCAAGCTATTGTTTTTATTCGTAAAAAAAAATCACTTTTTGGGGGGGGTTACAGCGTTAGTTACACTTTCCACGCCGGCATTTTTGCCCAAAGCCATACGAGATGATCCTTTGATTCCCCGTATGTTATCACTAGATATCTTTTTTGTGCTGTATTTGGGCATTGGGCTCCAGTTCAATTGTTCTACTAATTAAAACAATATCTGCGTTGCCTGTTCTTCGTATTTATTCAACTAATGATTTTCCTGTTGTGCCCTTTAATATTTCAAGGTCTAGGAGCTTCACCTTAACTTTTCCCAGAAAAGCGGGACGAAAACTCGTAATCGCTACCACGACATTTTCTTTTCGCAGAGAGTAGCACAAAAGTAGACACAGTGGTGCAAATTATATGCGAATATTTGGATCTATAATCGCGAGGGAGTGGTAACGTTCGAGCCACTAAGCTTGTTACGCTGCCATTCATGACAGGTCGGTCTGCCGGGGGCTTAACTAACTGTCGGACGGATGCAGAAGTTAGACCAGCGTAGGCTCTGCCTAAGGTTACAAAGGTAAAAAACGAGAAAAAAAAAAAACAAAAACAGTAGAACAAAGATTTAGACGCTGACGCCGTTTGTATGCTTAGCGTTTGGCCGTGTAGAGAACGCCGTCATATCTACGCATTGTGTTCCCAGGTACACGGTCCAGGAATCGCCCACTGTAAACGCCAAGTTCGTATGTGGCGTGTTTTTTGTGACAAATAAGTTTTCCGCTTACTCTTTGGTCGATACGAATGGTTGTTCCAGCGTCGACAGGAACTCGAGAAAAAGATGGCGGCAGCCGTCGTGCCTGGCATTGCGCGTGCCAATCCGCAAGCCCGTGCTCGTCTTCTTTTTTTTTTTTTTTTTTTTTTTTTTGTGAACATGTTCTTTAGTTTTTTAGCGCGTGCGCCACGCGAGCTCCCCTCGTGTAAGAGAAAGTGGGTCCCTCGCAGGCCTCTCGCGGCGTTCACGATAAGCAAAGTGTTGAGGATTTTTTTTTTTAATTCTGGAAGTTTGTCGGAGGCTAAAGCACGTGGGCTAAAGTCACTGGATCTTGGGAAAGTAGCGCCATGCTTCCCCGTATGGTCGCCATTTTGGTCCATGGACTGTGCAGTTTTTCCTGGATCTCTCCATTCTTGATGAGCCGCTCCGAATTCCCGGTGACAGGTTGCTTTATAAGGACACTTCTTGTATACCGAGATTTTGTTATCCGCACACACCGGCGAGGCAATTTCACATCTTGGCACCCCATGTAACGGCGGCGTTTGCCGGCATTAAATGTAACGCTAAATTAGAGCGCAGCTCTTGAGGAGGGAAGGATACTGAAGGGGGGGGGGGGGGTCACGTGACCCCCCCCCCCCCCTTCCCCGGGGTCACTGAAGGTGCCCGAAGTCTTCGGGGGGGGGGGGGGGGGGGGGGGGGGGGGGGGGGGGGGGGGGCTCGCGGTTACGCCGACGCCGCTCAAGCCGGAAACGGGCACCTAAGAGCTGCGCTCGAAAACAAGATCGTTGCAAGAGATTTGTGGAGATAAGCATGATTGATAAGTTGATTGCATACACAGTGCCAGAGACGTTTATATTGGAGAGAAACGGTCTCGGTAAGATGGCGCTACATGGAGATCTTGGCTCGTGGCGTGGCTCTGGTAGCTGGTTTAGAACGACCCTTTCGGAGATTTGACAGGATTAAAATAGTCATGGTAACTAAGATCGATTAGCCAATCGCCTTGCGAGGTTTCGGTCGCCTGCATGTTAGTAGCTCGACGAGAGGAAGCGGCCGACCCGTCCGTCTCGGCGTCTCCGCATGCTAGCATCGCACTCGTTGTGCAACGCTGCACTACGTGCTGGCGGCGATGCTGGTGCAAGCCGGGCGGCACTGCGTGGATCCATTAGCGCTGACGTTAGGGGGAGACAGGCGCTGGCCTTGTCCTCTGTATGCAGTTGGTGTGGGGTTGCAGAATTCTGGAAAAAGCTGGCCTTGAGAACATAGCACAAAAGCTTCACTGAATGTGTCGTGCGTGGATGAAGCATTTTTATGCATGGTTTAAGCTATAGAGCCAGGGATGTCAACCCCCCCACCCTCTTCTCAGGCTCCACCCCTTCTCATAGTAACTGTATATGCTCCGCTTGTAAAGCGGAGCTTATACACTATATGCTCCACTATTCTTCTAATCTAGCCAATCAAAGCTCAGCGTTCTGACGCCACCGTAGAACTTGTAGTTGGGCTAGTTGGTTAACTTTATGATGCATGGTGTAAGGCGTACAAAACAATGGAGACAAGGAAGAAGACACAAACATGCCTGTGTGTGGGTCCACTTCCTTGCGTCTGCTGCTTTTTGCACCCTTCACCATGCTTTATGACATCACCGCAACCCCTGTGCAAGAAGCAGACGAACTTGTGTTCCGCACAGTCACTCTACCCCTTCTCACCCTTTTCTCTGCTAGCTGCGCCATCTCCCGACAGGCACAGCACAGTTGTCTGCTCGCTGCGCCTATTGGTAGATTGCACACATTACATTCATTGCTCACGCAGTCGTCTGCGGACACGTCCGCCGTTGACTTCGGCAAGTTTTTTGGTTTAATTTTTTTACGGGAAAAGAACTATGCCTTAAAATTTCGTGAGGTGAAATGCACCACCTCCATGCGCACTTGGTGAAAGTTTAAGCTTCCTATCTCCAGGCACCAATTTTTCTGACCTGTGCTACAGCATAAGATCCACTGTGCACACCCTCTAGTTAAGTTTCCCATCAAGTGCGTGCAAGGCAGTGCTTTTCGTTCAGCATTTTTCCCTCTTTGTTCCAGGCATGATTGACTGCTTCGTGCGCATCCCCAAGGAGCAGGGCTTCCTCAGCTTCTGGCGCGGCAACCTGGCCAACGTCATCCGCTACTTTCCAACACAAGCGCTCAACTTTGCCTTCAAGGACAAGTACAAGCAGCTCTTCCTCGGCGGCGTGGACAAGAAGACCCAGTTCTGGCGCTACTTCGCAGGCAACCTGGCCTCCGGAGGCGCCGCAGGAGCCACCTCCCTCTGCTTCGTGTACCCTCTCGACTTTGCCCGAACGCGCCTCGCTGCCGACACCGGCAAGGGCGCGGCACAGCGGGAGTTCTCCGGCTTGGGCAACTGCCTCACAAAGATCTTCAAATCGGACGGACTGGTCGGCCTGTACCGGGGCTTCGGCGTGTCGGTCCAGGGCATCATCATCTACCGGGCGGCCTACTTCGGCTTCTTCGACACGGCCAAGGGCATGCTGCCTGACCCCAAGAACACGCCATTGGTCATCTCCTGGATGATCGCGCAGACGGTCACGACGGTGGCGGGCATCATCTCGTACCCGTTCGACACGGTGCGGAGGCGCATGATGATGCAGAGCGGCCGCGCGGTAGAGGAGAGGCAGTACAAGAGCACGATCCATTGCTGGGGCAAGATCATGAAGACGGAAGGAGGGGCGGCCTTCTTCAAGGGCGCCTTCTCCAACATCCTCCGCGGCACGGGTGGGGCCTTCGTGCTGGTCCTCTACGACGAGATCAAGAGCTTCATCTTTTAGGTGGGCACCCGTGGTGCCGGGAAACTCATTTGTTCCGCGGAATTGGCCGCTAGCGTCTAGGCTTTAGAGGAAAGTCTTTCTTCGGCGAAACTCCAGTTGCTAGTCGTGCGAGCAGCGAATTGTTAGGTAGCTTTACTGCAAACCTACATCTGGATTTTTTCTTTCTGTAATTCTGCCTTTTTTGGAGCAGAAAGGGAACAATAAAAGTGACAAGTGATTTAGGAAAAAAAAGTTTTTGAAGTTGTCGCGCATCATGAGCGGATACAAATAGTGGAGGAGGTTCCCGGTGCAACGCGGCCATAGGAACAGTTGTTAAGAAGAAGGTCGACAAAAAGGGTTGAGCGCCCCTAGCAACAGCCCGTCGCAAAGTGTACCAGTTGTGGTTCCTCGGAGAGTAGGCACGTAGGGAAATGGAACCACCTTGCAAGCTCTATCGGCGAAACCAACCGTCCAAGCGACAAGATATTGAAATAAACGTGCAAAGTCTTCGAACATGCATTTCTGTTGGGGGCTGTTTGCTTTGCTGCATGACTAATAAATCCGAAAGAGCTAACAAATTGAACTGATGATGGCACAATGTTTCGGTGCAACGATATATTGAAATGTAGATGTTGCAATTTTGATTTTTTCTAGACAGACCCTCTACGTCGACATGCAGGCATGCATTACCATTCTCTGGTTGTCATTTTGGTCTTCAAAACCTTATTCAAGTTTTAGCTTCAAACGTCTATCCAATTTCTAGGTGTCTCTATGTACAGACACTTCTGCGAAATCGGCAAAGAACAAATATCAGGTAAAATGCAATGCTGGTTTATTAACTACTTGTCACGTTCAAAAGTAATGCAGTCCACAGCCAGCTTAGCATGATAATGGCATGTATCTTTTCAGATTGCACATACCAACGGGTTCCCTATCAAACCTCCGTCCATGTGCAGGCACCCTCCCAGTTTTTATGAGTAGCTGAAATTGCTGCGCCTACAAACAATCCACACGCCACATCACACGGGACAGCTCCCAGCATTGGACAGCTCCCAGCACCGGGCATTTTAAATAGAGCCTCCTTTATTTGAAGGGTGGGGGAAAGAAATGTAATGGAGAGGAACCAAGATAGAAAGTGGCAAGTGGAAAGCACAGTCTGCCGCTGGAACACTCCACAACCCAGAGTTTTGAGACGAGTCTTTCACTCTTTCACGGCAGCGGGAGAGGTGCGCCCAGGGGTGGAGTTGGTCTGGATGTCTGGGCTGGTGGTGAGGGCCCACGGCTCGTGCAGATCTTCGGGGGCAGTGCTCAGGGCCCGCCTTCATACGATCGACCTGTTCTTGTCACCCGAAAGGCGATCGAGAAACTAAAAAAAAAAAAAAAGGCTTGTGTTACAGGGAAGCTTAGGACTATTCTGCAATTTTTAGACAAATGGCTTTTTAGGGTGTTGGTGGTACGACTGGTTTGAGTATCGTCTACTTGGAGACGAGCCAAGGGAAGTCTGGAATGCGGTGAATGATATTGCATATAAAAAGGGGTCTTTCGCTTGTACAAATGGCATTATTTTTCTTTTTAAATAAAGAAGGTGACCGAGAAAGATTAACGCACATTTTGTTAGTGTATGTGAATAAAACAGACTATAATTCGAGTTTTTTGTCATAGACAGAAAGAGCCTTTCATTAATTCTATGATGTGTAAGCCAACTACACCAACAGAAACTGATGGATTGACTAAAACTTAAAAAAAAAATGTTGCAGCAGGTAGTAACAGAATTAAGGCAGTCCCAGTGAAACTCCTCAAATGTGCATAGAGCAAATATCATGCTACAGATAGGTATATTCCCAAACAAACTAAAAATTGTGAGTTAGCCCTATATATTAAGGCAGAGAGAAAAATAGCCTACACAATCGCAGATCAATATTCTGCCAATTTTCTTCAAAATATTTGAAAATTTAAGGAGTTCTTTTTGCAAACAATATAATAAATAAAACACAATATGGTTTACAAAAACACAAGTCCACAGAACAAGCACTTCTCCACATATAGGACAAAATACTTTGGGACATTAAAGGGACACTGACACCCCCCAAAAAATGTTCTTTTAAGTTTTGCCAGGCGATCCATTATGGGTATCAGAAGACTACCTAATCAATATTTTGCTACGGCGTTGCATATATTTTGAATAAAGTAATAAAAACGCAACTGCTCGAAACCGAAACTGGACTGGGGAGGAAGAACAAATATAGAGGAGAAAGTTATCAAAAGTCATGTGGCTATGCCACTTTTTTTTTTTTTTTTTCAATCAACATATATGCAGATTTTTAGAAACCCCAAAAAATGGGTATCACTTTTTTTTTCTATTTTTAATATTGAGTGTGTGCCTTCATGATTGTATTTGGCGGTTGTGTCTAAACCATATCAAATGGCACGTGACTGCAAAGAAGAAACTGAGCACAACTCAAACCGGCCAGTTCTCGATTGGCGGTTTTTGGGTGGAAAGAAGACCAATTGCGATTTGCAAATTGTGTTCTGAATAGTTGGGCTCTCATATGTTATGTACAAATGAAAAACCTTGGCAACCATAAATACCCTGTCAGTGTCCCCTTAAAGAAAAATTTTATAAACAGTTTCTTTTTGAACTTTGCAAGGCCTTCAATATGATACAATACAATATTAATTAAACTTTAATATAAGTGGGTACATGGAGAATCATTAAAGCTAATTGAAAACTATTTAAACAATCAATATTAATATGTGCATGAATAAAGTAGCCTCTGATATGTTAGAAATATTATTCAGAGTAGCCTCGAGGGTTAATCCTTTATTATTTCTGGTTTATGTTAGTGTAAAGAAACCATATGAAGGATATAAGACTCCTCAGAATTAATAATGCATGCAGACGATACCAACACATTCTTTAAGGTACAATCTAAATGTACACTGCTAGAAAGAGTGGCAAACTGATACCTGACTTGACTATCTAGCTGGTTAAAGCAAAACAAACAATAGCTTAATGCTTAAAAAGTTTTAATGCATGATCTTTTGTCCCACTAACAATCCTAATTACTCTTTCCTGCATATTAACTTTGCTGGAGTTTCCCTCGGAAAAGGTCAAGGAGCTAAAATTCTTAGGCATGTGGTTTAGTGAAAAGTTTAACTGATCGACACCAATCTAACCGAATTATCCAAAGCAATGCGGAGAGCAAGTCGCCTGCTTTTTGAGCAGCAGTTGCGGAGACGTCAAAATGACGCCGAGCCTTGATTGGCTTCTATTGAAAGGAAAGGGGGTAGGCCTCAATGCTGCTAGGCTCCTTGAGGTCTACCCACTATTTTTTTCAACCGGCCAATAAGAGCTCGGCGTCGTTCTGACATCATCGCAGCTCCCGTGCAAGAAGCAGACGCTCTTTCGCTCTGCACAGGATGCGTATATAGAATTCATAAACTACTTCCAGCATGGGTAAAAAAGAAAGAAAACTTTATTATTTTTCATGTTATTAAAAAATGTTGTGTGGCATATTATTGTGGAGTAGTACATCCAAGATGAACTACACTAAAACAATAATTCTCCAGAAAAGGATACTTTGCATGTTTGATCCTTCTCAGAACCGACACGACTTCGGCACACACCCAATCTTTGAAAAATCGACTCTATTAAAGTCTAATAAAATATATTACTTTAAATTGCCACAGCTGACACACAAGGAGAAGCTGCAGCTAAGCCCGAAGAGTAGTAGCTCGGAGCGAGCACTAAGAAGAAACATTCGGAAAATGCCTGGAATAAGAACCAGCTGTGGCAAGCAAAAATTCAATTACCAAGTTTCTTTATTGTTAAATAAAATTGACAACCATGTAAGCTTTTAATTTTCCTTTCCAATTTTCAAGAAAAATAGTAGAAGTCCCTGGTGGCTAGAGATCTCGTCTGTTAAAAAAGAAAAGGTGCATTTGAATGCGAAGTAAAAAAATATGGCATTCTAATTAGTTGTGTGTTAAGTATTGTTTTAAACATATCTAATGTTGTATAAGATATTTGATAGTTGTATTGAATTTCACACTTTCATTTTGCTGATGTCCAACTGTAAGGGGAGGTAGGGACCTTGTCGAACCGCAACGGCATTTTTTCTCTCTCGGTGGAAATACATAAAAAGATACAAGGTTGCCAGTGCCTTGAGCACCCCCGCTACTACAGTCAAAGCTCGCTATAACAGACCTGGTTGCAACAGACATTGGGATATAACATACCAACTTGTGAAGTTCGGTTGCTTTTCCTCTATGCACCATTGACTCAACTTGATATCTGCATACAACATACTCCTTTTACAACAGACCGAAATCTTGGTCAAAATCAAGGTCTGTTATAACGGGCTTAGAATGCATGTGTTTCAACCGTAGAAAGCCAATCCAGTCCAGACCTCCTTTTAATGTAGCCAGAAGGTTCTAACCATTGACTGAAGGCGGTGGAAGTGTTCACTTACCGCACCAAGGAACGGCAGGTTGAGCACGTATCCTAGGACCGGTATCCTCCGCAGGAAATTGATGACTACCGGGAAGAAACCACTGAAAAATGTGCAACAGGTGGGCGTAAGGGGAAGTGTCGATTTGTTTCGCTGGCCATATGTAGCGACAAACTGTCTCGAAGCACCCGAGACCGTCGAAACCTCGCTGGATTGAACCTACATTCGGTAAGTGCCACTCAACCTTTATAGTCACTTCTGCCATTTTTCATTGTGGCGAATAAAGAAAGTTAAGACGCTGCAATGCAGAAAAGGTGGGCACAAGCCTGTTTTTTGCGTTTCCGTTACTTAATTGGAGTTTGCACTATCCTTGCCACGGTGCTGGCTCAGAAATTAAATGATGGGCATTCACAAATTTTTCTGGCCTAGACAGCTGCTCGTGAACTTCGTTTCTCGCGTGCATGGCTGCAGTTTGCGCAAGATCTCACGTCGGCTACGTGCAGAAGAGCAGACGACTCAATCTTGAAGCAGGGGGTGGTACGTACTTCAGTCGCGACCATGCTGCAGACGCCGAATAAGCCAGAGCGGCATTGTCATCAAACCAAGACGACGGAGCGACGACACTTATTCGCTGGAATTTGGATTTGAGCAACTCTGAAAGTGCCGTCAAGGCTGGTTCGCACATTTGCGTTTGACCGTGACAGACTGTGTTACGACGGCTTGCGCCTTCGTGACGAGGCAATACACTCGCTCCCTCTGTTGGGTTGCCCTGGAATGCTTCCGATCTGCGGATACGTCCTTATTTTTTATGCATCTTTCTTCTACCATGTGCTTGAACTAATTTTGACAATGCTTATTTGTCGTAGATACTAGTGCATAGATTTTATCTCGCTGCAAATCCTTGAATCTAGCTATATGCAGATCGGAAGTCTAGGGCTTGCCAATGGATGGCTCCATTGTGTTCTCCTGTTGTAAGCCAAGCCACCACAACACAGTCGATCAGACGCGTGTGAACGAGCCTTTAAGGTGTACTCGTTGTCACCCAAAGCAAAAAGCAAGTTCAGTGCGTGGCTCACGAGCAGCACAAAATAGGTATTACATTTTCCGAAAAGAAAACAACGGCTTTTGCGTTTGAAACTCGAACGCCTCCATTATGCAACAAATAGACCGATCTCACCAAGCGTTCCACAGATGTATGACGCCGCCGTAACTCTAGTTCACAAGAGGCAGGTGCCAGTGCACGAGAAGGCACATGCAATCTCTCGCGCAGCCCGCAGCAGAGTTGTCGCACGTGCACAAAGACTAGTTCCCACGGTGCACGCCAGTAGCAGAGGCGCAACGAAACTGGCCGGTGACATCGGTTTAGTATCTTAAATGCGCAGACTCTAACGATACGAAAGACCCACTCGGGGCGAGTGGCAGAGACGGCAGCCAGTGCGTGTCTCCGTACATGGAAACAAGAGCTGTTCATTGTTCAAAATGAACCCTCTCAAACATTCCGACCCTTTATAGAACCCTCCCCCTGAGAAAGCTTCTCTCTGCAACCACTTCGGTACACGGAACGCGTGTCCGAACGGTGCATTCAGCATCCTATTCCGCCCATGCATCGAAGGTGGTCCCCAAGTGGCAACGATCGACGTCGCAAAAGCCGGAATGTTATACTGACGAATGTTGCGATCTTGACAGTTGGCCGTAGAAGTTCCAGCAAAAGGCATGAGCCAATGCGAGTGTCACTGCTGTCGTGACGTCCAAATTCCTGGCTGCCAAGGCTTCCGTGGACCATCGAGGTGGGAAGCGATCTGCGACAGAATGTGCGTCTACCACATCCATCACCGCCAGAGGTCGGCATTTTAGGTCGCGCTCACTCACCCTTACCCTCACAGCCACACTCACCTAAACCCCTCACTCACCCTCACCACTACACTCACCTTCAGCCCCTCACAGTCACACTCACCTTCAGCCCCTCACTCACCCTCACTGAACCTCACGGCCCTCACACCCCTCACGCACTGATGGCCCTCACGCCACTCAGGCCAGCTTCAGATGGGGCGATTTCGCCCAGAAACTTTACGTCGCAACACCAGCAACACGGGCCGCCCGCGATCACACGCAGCAACCAATTGCTGCAATTTGCCATCGTCATCATAAAATTTTATTTTTCTTGCACTATTTAGACACAATTACGCGTTATAAACGTGGCTTTATGCATTTAAATCTCGTTAAGAATACCACTGCACCTTTCTGAAACAGTTTATTTCCAAAAAAACGATTGATTTCAAACCAGAACCAAGTCTTTCGGTGTCATCATCACCGGCACGAGGTATCACTTGAAAATTTTGCGTCCCAAATTGAATGCAGCCGCTTTAAACGTATTCGAATTGCTCCGAGTTGCTTGCTAATTTTGAGCCGGACCCGATCGCAGCAATTCGTGTCGATCTAGGGAAAGCTAGAGAACAACTTGCCATTAACACCAAAATTGCTGAGTAAGATGCTCGATCTGAAGGGGGCCTCACGTACTCACCGCCCTCATGCACTCATGGCCCTCACACCCCACCTCATGCACTCACCGCCCTCACGGCCCTCACGCCTCTCATGCCACTCACTGCCCTCACGCACTCATGGCCTTCACAGCCCTCACGCACTCACCGCCCTCACACCATTCACGCACTCATGGCCCTCACGCCACTCACCGCCCTCACACCCCTCACGCACTCATGGCCCTCATACCCCTTACCGCCCTCACGGCCCTCACTCACCCTCACACTCGTGAATTTTCCTGGTTCAGAAACTCACTCACCCTCACCTCACCTGTGAAGATGAGGGTGAGTGACGGTGAGTGAGGGCCGTCATGAGTGAGGTTTGCCGAGGTATGATCACCGCTGCTGCGACGGCGTGGCACTCCTACGACGTCGTCGGGCATAAGTCGTGGGACCCTTTTTTTGGACACGGTAAGCAGACCAGTCAGAAACGGTCAGAAACGCGTTCTAGGCAGCATACTATCACAGATTGGTCGACCGTCTGGTTTCGGTTCGCCACTTCCGTCCGCCATTGTAACTTTTTTGTCTCGTGACCTGGCTTGCTCTGACAAATTGCCACTGCTTCGCCGGTCGCCCGTTGACGTTTGCGTACAGAGGACGTATGTAGCACATTTTCTTCGTAGAGACATTAAACTGCCGCTACGATGGGTTGTTGTGCGGTAGGCTATTTAGTTGGTAAGGAATGTGACAAAAGGTTGTTTTGGACGGACCTTTTTCACATAAAGATGACACCAAGCGACGAAAGCTTGAACTTGGTTGGGGTTTGAAAGGAGAGCTGCATCGCTTCTCCCGCCTCCTATAGGTCACTGACACTCTACACGACTGACGAGTCGGAGACAGTGCTACAATAAAATCCCCGTGTACTCTGTCTGCGGCACAAGATCGCGGCTCCACAATCTCCTTCAATTGAGCTAAAGATGCACATCCCACAACAGGAATGTGTCTCATTTCGTGCTTATTGCTCTCGCTTACTCGTCCACTGAAAGAGGAATGGGATTAGAAGTGTCTGTCCCACTGTTCAAATTTACTGTAAGCATGTTTAGCAAAGCAGAGGCACAGACAGCCAAAGTCTCAACAAAACTGCCATACCCACTGTAGCAGGTTGCAGCTCAAGAAGGTAGGGTGAGGGAAAGGAAGGCTGGGTGGGAAGAGGCAGACAGAATGCTGGAGAGGGAAAAACCACCTCCCCTTTCCAGCATTCCGCCTGCTTGCTCCTGCCCAGCCTTCCTTTCCCTCGCCCTACCTTCTTGAGCTGCAACAGGCTATAGTAAAATCAGACAGGGGCACTTAGAACCTGAATGCTAGAGAAAAGGCGAAAGCTGGGAGCTAAAATAATTCCAAAAACGGTGATTTCTCAAGGGTTTGCCAGTGGTCACTTAGGTGGCGCCAGAATCGAAATCAGAGAGAGAGCGGGACTGAGAGGAAAAAAGAGCGAGAAGCTCTCAAGGGAAAAAGAGTGAGACATTACTTTGGGGGGGGGGGGAACAGCTTGCGTTATGGCCTGCCAATTTCATAGGCTTGTCGCACCGCACAAGCAGATACGGGAGTTCATGTCAGTTTAACGGGAGAGAGTATGGTCAACCGGTGTGTGCCAACGCAGATTGACTGCATTAATGCGTTTCACTCTCCTTGGAATGAACTGTCCGGAGCAGACGCTGTGCCCCAACCGGTCGCCGTCTGGGCCACGCGCTACGGTTGGATCTTTTATACTGCAGGAGACTGCACCTAACGGGTAAAGAAGTGGTGCTCTGCAAGGAGTCAAACCTTTTCTTCTCCAGTTCTTGAGGTGAAAACGAGTAGGGTAGGCAACAGTGGACAAGGTGCTGCTGCTGACAGCAAGAGCGTGTCTACCAACCTGAAGAGGAGCACAAAGCCATAGGTTTCGATGATGATCCCGATGAGGGGAAACCCAAAGATGACGACGAAGATACCGCCGAAGAAAGCGAGCGTCCCTCGTAACTTGTGTCGTTGGAAGAAGAAGCGGAATGTTCGCTCGAGTCCAATCACAAACGCGAGGCCGCACAGGAACAGGATCTGGAAGAAGCAAAATTACGGGCAAGAGAATGTTTGTCAGTTGACGGGTAGAGGCACATGCAAATGGCTTCGTTGTCACACGTGCAATAAAAAAGGTATCAAAACTAAAGGTACGCAGCGAAGTTGCGATGTGCACCCCAAGCAGGCTGATTTTGGGAATTGCAGTGTGGCTTATCTGACCTCTATATCGACTGATTACACTTAGAACACGAGTGGAAAGTGCAGCGATGTTGAAGTTATGCCCCCTGTGATGAAAAGGAGTGCTCACGTTTCCGAGGGCGAGGAGTCCCTTGTCAAAAAACAGGAGGACACCGAGAAAGAGAAAGGCAACTCCAAAGCCGGCAAGCCCGACTCCGATCTCTGAAACGAGGCGACCAAAGTGCAAGGTTATTTCGTAAGGTCTCAAACACGCCATGCTGGGTATCTAAGGCAAAAAATGTCAGATACGCTGAGCTATTTAATACAATCATTGTATTATGCCGCGAATTTTCGCGTCGGTCGGTCGCAGCTTACGGTAGCAAGCCGGGCGGTACACGGAAATTATTACAACGACCATGTCGCCCGGTCAGCGATGGCTTACTTTGAAAATCTGTTATTTCGAACATGGTCTGTGTCTTCTAGCAGGCCGCACACCGAGCCGAGTTGAAATATGGGCCGCGGAAATAATAAATATTGGGGAAAGTCGAGCCCATCCACGTCACAAACCTCACGCCAAGGGGAGCGCCATGTTGGTTTCTGTTCTAAAACAACGAGCGCCCTCTGTGCAAGTGAGAGCGAAACGAGCGAAACAAGGGGCTCGTTCGATTTACCTGCACCGCCTGCACTTCCTGCACCTGTGCGCTATGCCTGTGCGTTGACCTTGACCGCCTTGACCCGTGCAGAAAAGTCTACCTCGTTGAGAAAAGTCAACGAGGTTGAGAAAAGTGTAGTGCACTGTACTTCCTGGATTCGTAAGTTCGTTGTTTAGTTTAGATTGTCTTTTCAACCAAGCTACAGTTACCAAGCAAACGTTACGATGTACTTTGAGAAGTTTTTTTTTTATTCCACATTACTTGAAAGGTCATAAAAACTGAATACAACTGCACCTTTGTTTACGGGAAGAGCATTTGAAGAGCATGCAGGACCGCAACGCCGGAGAGGACCAATAAAACTAGGAACTTTGGGCCGGGCGGGAGAAAGGCACGTAAGTGGTCACGGGACTGCGCCTTTTCTCTTAAAAAAAAAAAAAAAATGCTGGAGTACCTACGGTGCGGGATATGTTCTTGTTTGCACTTTCGAAGTGTCCATGACGTCACACATGCCTGTTTCGTCCAAATTAACTGAAAATAACCGCGCCACACATATTTTTTTTTTTTTTTTTCTCTGAAATTTGTTACCCAACACGCCGAACACGCTGCAATTTGCTTGATCGTACCACATTAAAACTTTACGAGCTGAGTGCGTGACACTGTTTTTCCGAGGTTCCTGGAGCTTTTAGAGAAAATGATCCGTTACCTTGTGAGAGCCTCTGGCTGCCCGCCAGGTACGTATGCAATCCTACCCCCCCAAAAAAAAAATTTACAGCGTTTTTTTCACCGCAAAAATTAACTATACATCGCCGAACGCTCATCCTCCGCCGAAACGTAACACTTTGGGGTCCGAACCAGATATGTTGCTCAAAGGTTATGTGATTTTATGTAAACTTTAGTAGGAAAATGGGGCGTGTTTGGACCTCTAGCGCTACTTTCGGGCAGAGAATGAGCGTTCGGCTATGCGTAGTTTATTTTTGCGTTAAAAAAAAACACTTACATTTTTTTTTTTTTTTTTTTTTTTGACATCCTGCCATTTTATGATCTCGCCGCCGTAACGCCCCCCTCCCGAGTGAGCCAATCAGCCCGCGGCGCAGACCGAGAGGCGTGAGCGCATGCGCGTGAACTCCCGACTGCTCCCAGCTGAGCGGGGACGGCCGCCATTTTCAATCATTTGCTCGGATAATCCAAATTTCGGTTCTTTTATTTGGCAGGCTCTGGCACGAAAATAATATACTGTTATTCCAGGGTGGCTTAAAAAGCTAACAAATGAATTTTCTTCATGTATGAATGCAAACTTATTTAGGTGAAGAAGAAAGAAGCCCATAGCAGACGACGCATAGCCTCAACAGTGCTCTGTGCCGATAATGTGTTGCATCAAAATGGCGGTCGTCTCCTCTTTGCTCCTTTCTTCCTCTCTGGCCTTCGGCGCTCTCCTACCTGTCCTTCACTTTTCTCCTGTTCAGCGCCTTCGTCGCCACACCCATCGGCCAGACCCTCCCAATATACGACTCTGCCCTGTGAATAGCTTGCATGTTACGTTATTCGCGGCCATGCCAGTATTTTATGTGCAGCAAGCGTTCCGTTCTCCATGTTAGTTTCACACTGCAGAAGCTGTAGTTCGAAGAAGCCAGTAAGTAGAAATAACCGTCAGTACCCAGCAATGGCGACCCTTGCAAGCTACGTGTATAGAAACAAAGGTAAATTCTGTGTACAGCATATGAACTAACACTTCTAAGGCACTTTCGACGTCCCGTAAAAATCTGTTTCTCAACGTACGTGTCACACTGCAATTTACTACAGAGGTGCAAGCAGGTGGTGGAAGTTTACAGTAATGAATCGACGAATGAACTTGCCTCGTTTGAAAGGGAAGAAACAAAAACCTGTTCTGGGCAATCTACGGTCCACGCTGCCACTTCGCAAACAATGCTCACGTATAAAAACCAACAGATGTCGTACGCCGCATCGTCTTTGAAGTGGCAGTGTTGATTGTCCAAAACAGGTTTTTGTTTTTTCCCTTTTGAAAGAGGCAATTTTATTCCATGATATTTTCGCTGTAAACTTCTACCATCTGCTTGAACCTCTGTAGTAAATTGCAGCACAATACGTTGCGAAGCCAATTTTTGCGGTTTTCCTAAAGTGCCTCATAAGCGTACATGCTTAGAAATAACTTGGATAAATGTTCCTAATAGCAAATGGGGTTCTTTGTTCACTTTCCTGTTCGAGGTGCTGGTTACGTTGCTAACCAATTTCCTGCTGAACCAAAGTCGACTACTATTTGTATGAAATCGGCCTTAAAGAGGTAACTTACAACACACAAAGTTGACTCCAGTCTTTTCAGTCCTTTTCAACTGAAGGGTCAATAAGCGTCTTCTCGCTCACTAGCGAAGAAGGAAATGCCTAATTTGAATATCCACACCTTTAGCTCCATCTTTGTAAAAAAATATTTCAGACATTTCAAATTCCTTGTCGTCTGAACTCTTCAAACAGTCCTTTGGTGACAGAGTCACCCGATTACAGTCAACCGAAGCCACGATAGAGGATGAAATATGCGCAATCATAGAGTTTATATAATAAGCTAGAGGAAAATGTCCATTGCTTTCCGGCTGCTTCGAATTGGCGGGGCATAGACGCGAACATCGGGGTTCCCAGCGGGTGGACCCGATGGGCCCATATCGCTGGCGATGCCTTATATAAATGCAAAGAAGCAGCCGAACAACACCTGTAAGGTCTGTACCTAGCTCTTTTTTTAGCTTACTTTGCAGGAAAACACTGGAATCCTGCATAACAAGTTGGCGCTCTAACAACTTCAACTTGTCATGGCAGAACGAAGACGCCTAACCTATTGCCTGCCTTCTTCCTCCCTTTTTCCATCGCACCCTTTCTCATCTTTTCTCACGAGACCAGCGACATCAATGCCTACGATTCATCGCATTCTGCTCCTATCCTCACCCCTGTGCAGTGTGTTTATAGATTTAGAGACACGGACCTGGCATATTTTCCGCAGGAATCGTCGCCTGTAATGCAAGAGGGCTTGCTAGCATTGCGAGACAGCCGTCTGCTTCACCAACATCGGCACGAGCTGTCGTTGCTGACGTTGCAAACGAGCTTATGGAGCGCCGTATAAGCGTGCGCACATGTGGCCCCCTGTACCGCCAGTGGAAGCAGACCAAGTCCTGGTACCGCAGGGCGCCCGAGGACGGCATTGAGGTTGACGTCCCTTTCGTCTTCACCAGACGGGACGATGGTGGCGGCGCCGAAACCAGACGCCCGCTCGCCGTTCTTCTCCACGGCGCTCCGGGCAGCTATCGAGACTTCTCTGAAAACCTGATCCCGAGGCTTTGTGCAGAGGGTGTGGACGTGTTAGCCCCATCCTTTCCAGGTGTATAATTGTCCCCTCGTCCAATGCTACATCTGTTGAGGCCAACACAGGCTACGGCAGTGCACTGGCTTTACTTGGCCTAAATTTAAGTGATTGAGCAAATCAATATAAGGGATGCATTTGCAATTTAATGGCAGATGCCTCCTGGGCACATTGGTCGCTAGTGACCATCTGTTGCATTGTCGCGTGGAGACGGGGAAAGCGACAGTAAGGCAGACACTTGCAGATGACCAACGCTTCTGTTACCTCCTCACAGCTCGCATTGCAAACACGACCCATAAACCACGTGACCCCGATTGAGCTGTTGGAAACACTGTAATCTAATGTCTATTTGCACGCAACTCCGAAGAAATTCTAAGATAAAAGGTTCACAAATGTGCATTTGGAAAGTCAAGACTGTGATTCGAAAAACACCTCCCTAATTGGGTATTATTTTGACTTGGAGTTGAGACATGGATTTGGTAGAAAGTTATTATTAATGGCTCTTATTTTCTGAGCATTCTATCATGCATAAAGTGGGATTTTTATGTTGCCGCTTGAGCTTGCCATGGAATGTACAGAGGGCTATTGGTTCAAGATCGGAGCCTCTAGAGATCAATGCACATCCTCTGCTGTAGCCTGTGCAAGATCAGAGCCTCAAGATGTGCATCCTCTGCCACAGCCATAAGCTCTTTCATAGCCTTCATGGCAGTGAGCTTACACTCCTAGCCTTCCTCGCAGCTCTACTGTTTTTTGCCTTCTCAGGTGAGCATGTTTAAGAACCGTTCTAGAGTCTTCGGAAAAAGCTTATAGGCGTTCGGAAACACATATTCACGCTACTAAGTCTGCTACTCCATGCCAATAGCTAGGGTAGGGCAAGCGAGTCCACGAACAATGTCTCTGTTCTTGGCCGTAGCTGCACAATCCTCTCGCAGACCTCAGATTCAGCATCCAGAACGAGTTCTTCTGGCACAGCATTGAAGAGCGCACGGCCCTCCTCAGAGACTTTCTCAGGCAGCTTGGCATCACCAGGTACGTCCTTGACACTTGCCAAGCGTTTTCTCCACGTTTTGAAAAGAGTTCTCTTTCCTTTGCACTCAGTTTTCCTTTGAAAATAATAGCAGTCGACATTCAACCGACTCCACGACTCCCTTGACATTTAATTTTTTGTGCCTGTTAGGTGTATGCAATTTCAGCGCACTTTTGCAGCGCACTTTATAAAGCTAACAAAATGCCGATCTGGCTACAACCCCAGGATTGATGCCCTGGTAGCACACAGCGCCGCCACTTTCACGAGCTTGCGCATCCTGTTGGAGCGACAAGAACCGGTGCCCACGGTCAAGTCCCTTGTTCTTCTGGCACCCAACTCTCATATCACTCCCAGGTGAGGCTTCAAGCTGCTGCTTTTGCTTGTGTGCATTTTGCCCAGTGTCGGTGGTTGGTTTAAACGGATACTACAACGAAATTTCAGCGCTCAATTTTTGGTCTATATGTGTTCAAAGGAGCAGTATCACATCGAACATACCAATATCTTGTTAAAAAAGTCTCGAAAAGGAATTTTAAAATGAATTAAACGTTTAGCAAAGAGCACCTGGTGGATGTCGCTAATGCCTCGCTTGTAATGCCCGTCTAGGAACCTTGACAGCTAGTGACGGTGAGTGTCTCGCCTCCGGCCACGGCGAGAGGGGAAGGAGGAACTCCCCTCTTCCCGAGAATGCTTTTTGTGTGTCGCAGAAGTCGAAATTTTCCCCTACAAGATTATAGAAGATTAACCCGTCACTCAAAATTCGTACAAAAGCAGCCGCTTCGGTGGCTGGAACGATTAGGCCATCCTCTCGACATCAGCCTCTCCGTAGCTTTGCTCGTCCTGAGACGACCTACGTCACGATTGCGTTGGATGTCACGTGGTCTCTGCTGGGCCTTCTCCGAGCGCTTGCCAGAGCGGGCAGTTTATAACGAAAAATACAGCCACCCAGGCTCAAAATACAGACGTGCGATTGTCATATTTACGGATATTGTGGATCATATTCAACGTTCCTATTTTTAACACAACGGGAATATTTCAAAATTCGTTGAAGTATCCCTTTAAAGACACGATTGGTGAGTCTCGGCTAGTTGTCCCGCCTCTGGTGCGAGTGCGGTGCCCTTAGTGATGCGTTGGCATTGCCCGAGCATCTGTTGTGTCTGATCGATGCTTCGGCAGCACTGATGCTGGTTGAAGTACCCTTTGCAGCATCGGTGCTGATTGAAACAGCATGAGGACATTATATCCTCATGCTGCCTCATGTCCTCATGCTGACTGAAGAAGCTTGAGGACATTACCAATGCTCGTGGATTGTCCTCCTTTGAATGGCCATGTTGTGGCTGGATGAGAATCATAGTCCTTTGTTTGCTTCAGTGTGCTGAAGCCCAGGTGGCTGAAGAACTGGATGGCAGAGTCTTACCGCAATGAAATTCTGCGGCCCTTCGTCAAGGCCATCATCCTTTCTTCGTGTTACTTGGGACTCAGTCCGGTCAAGCCGGATGTGGACAACGCCATGCTCTCCCTCATCACCTACTGCAAGTCTGGCTATCGTGAGGTGGGAATTCCACTGAGTTGTATTTGCCGTATTTACTCGCATAATGAACACAGGTTTTTTCTCGAAAAATTGTTACATATTTGTGGGGGGGGAGGGGGAGAGGGGGGAGGAGGGGGGGAGGGAGGGAGGGAGGGAGGGGGAGGGGGAGGGGGAGGGGGAGGGGCGTTCATTACGCGGGGTAAGTTTTGCATTTGCACACTTTGTGCAAATGTCATAGGCAGAGGCTGCGTTCACGCGCGGGGACGTAGCCAAGTCCGAAAAGGAGATAAGGCCCCATCCACTCAAAAGGTCACGTGACTTATAATATAAGAACATAATTTGTTTTTATGTACATATAATGCTTTCTTATAAGTAAATATAGGATATAAAAATAAAAAGATTAGGTTCCATTCCCACCCCTGCCCATTTCGGTTTGGATGAGCATCGTACCGGCGTGCGGTCGTGTATCACTACTGGGCGGTAGACGTTAAAGACCCCAGGCTAGCGGTTGTACCACGCCAACTAAATTGCTTGTCTACAGCTGAGACACCAGGCGCCCATTGAGGCTGACTAACTTCGAGCTGTATAAACATACAAACAATGCAACTACTTTATTACTGCATTAAAATTTAATCTTTGCAAGGAAAAACGCTTTCCGCAATTCATGATGCTTCGCACTAAAATGGAGTGGCTGTGGGGGCCCTCGTAGCGGCACAAATACTACAAAATATTTTCGTGAGAATTTTTGTGCCCATAGATTTGCCAAGATTTGCCAAAGAGGAGGATGCACGTTGCTCGTGCAGTAAAGGCCCGTTCACACACTGCATTTGATTGCGATCGAGTTTTTGGGATCGACAAGAATGACTTGTCCCTGGAATCGCATTTGATTAAAGCGAAGGTTTTGTGATATTTTCGAGATCAGCTGTACATGCTGTCCACGAGAGGTTTATAACATTGTCAAAAGCTTTTAGAGCCAAAAAAAAGAATGGTGCTCGCAAAGAAAGTTGGAAATATATACGGAAATGCCAAGTGTTACCCAATATACATGGTTAAAGCCAGCGAGCAACTTGGGGAGACTGTAGAAGATTACAGGAGACAGGATAGATGCTGAACTCACAACTCAATATCTCATCTAGAAGAGAAGAAAGAAAAAAAATGATGCAACCAACAGGCATGTGCTCATGGCATGAGAACTCTAGGGCGCTGGGCGATGGCTTCAGCGCATCCAAGCGTTTAAAAACAAAATTTCCCTCTCAGAAAGTGTAACAGAAGGATGGCTCATGCAGTGCTCCTCCAAACCTTGTATAAAATTTATGCCTTGTAAATTTCTCTTGAGAGTTTTTTCTTATATCGACTGATGATAGCGGTGCTGGCCAGATTTGGATTACATGCACAGGCTTGACAGTGCAGATGCTGGTGACGATGTACATGTACCTTTGACCATGTACATGTAATCCAAATCTGGCCAGCACCGCTATCATTGGTTTATATAGGGAAAAACCTGAGAAATTTACGGCGCATGTATTATAACAAGGTTTGGGGGAGCACTGCGTGAGTTATCCTTCTGTTACACTACCTGAAAAGGAAGTTTTGTTTTTAAATGCTTCCGATGCGCTGAAGCCATCGCCCCATGCCCTAGAGTTCTCATGCCATGAGCACTTGCCTCTTGGTTATGTGTCATCTTCTTCTCTTCTGGATCAAATATTGAGTTGTGAGTTCAGCGTCTATCCTGTCTCCTGTATTCTTTTAAAGTTTCCTCACATTGCTTGCTTACTTAAATGTATAATGCTTACCAACTAACCGAGCTCACAACCCTTCTACATTTACCTGATAAATGGTACCAGCCATGGGCGTCCAAACCGGGGGGGTAAGGGGGGCACTTGCCCCCCCAGTTCTCACAGTGGGGGGGCAAGGCATGTGTTTTGCAACCCCCCCCCCCCCCCCCCCCCCCCGAAACCGCCGGCACTGGTGAGTGGAGACACTGGCCGGAAAGGAATACCAAGGGCACCACCCCGGCCCTGGGTGGGGGGATGGTTTGCCCCCCCACTCAAAAACAAGTCGGTACGCCACTGGTGCCAGCCTGTTCTCTTGTCATCAAAGATCCCAAGAGATTTCAAGGCACTAGGTCATTAGCAGTCACAAGTGTCGAAAACAGCTTTAAGAGCTATTCTGGAGAAGTGTGGATGGAAGCGCTTGTCCCCCGCCATACAGTCTTGGCAGCAGCCCTCCAGACCTCGACTCAATCCCAAAACTTAAGAAACCACTCGGTGAACGAGTTTCGTTTTCAAAAACTGGACCCAAAATGCGCACGACTTTTGAAATTACTACGAACGGGCCGGTCGTTCGACTTCTTGGTTAGAGTAGAGAAAGTATCTTTGCACCGTGGCTCGGATGAGTGTTTCGATTGAATTCGATCGACTGGAATTACCGTTTCTCTTTTGGTTGCAGGGAGATAAGCTGCTGGAAGCGGTGGCTCACATGAAACTGCCCACCCTAGTTGCCATCAGCAGAAATGACCGGCTTCTTTCCTACTCGCTTTTCCTGGAGGTTTGCGCCGTGCTCGGCGCTTCGGAGGGGGACATGTGGCATTTTGACGGCGAAGGACGAATGCTGCGCTCAGGTGAGCTTTACGCGCTATAATAATGACACTGATGACAAGTTTATGCACAAGTGCACCATAGAACTTAAAAGGGCAATGCAACAATTTGAACTTTGAAAGAATTTGTAGTTTTTAATTTTTTCATTGTTTATCTTAGCAAAGGGATGGATAAGCGACCTCATTCTTTTCAAATATCGCAATTCCGTCGCATAATTGCAAAGAAAAGAACAGGAATAATTTGTGAATTGCAGCCGTGGGCATGGGAACTATGCTGTGACGTACCCCTGGGTACAGTGTAATAAGCTAGAAAGGTGTGCCATTGTGTGCTCAGTCTAATGCTATATTTTGTAAATATAGTATAAAATATAGTACAACGTTGTCATTGACAAAGTTGTACTATATCTAGTCTCGGTGTTGGTGCCATCTGCCCAAGGTGAAAGAAGCTGTTCCTCCTTCGAGCCTCACTCCGTTGCTACTATGTCAGTCGAACTTCCTTATGGAAAGGCAAACTTTTTTGGCCCTTTCGCCCTCCTCTCTTCTCCTTTCCACATTGCTCAGACCAACCTTGAAGGTCGCCACGTGAATCTCAAACAGGGGCCGTGTGCACTGGAGTTTCTGAAAGAGAACCCAACCAAATTCTCTGTGTCCCCAGTGTGCGTCACTGCGCACGTGACTCTCAAGATGGTGTAAGAGTTAAGAGTGGTTTAGAGACGCCCAGAACGTCAAATGTTTGACATTTCTTTTAAAAAGAACCAACTCGCGTAGGCAAAATTGGTTTTCAGTTCTTTAATACAGACGTGACAGGGAACAACTACGTACCACAATTATTTGACCAAAGTCGAAACATTGTTGCATGCCCCCTTTAAGAGGGAACACTGGTCTTGTAGCTTGATCTTTATTGTTTGATGGAATTCAATGAAAGTGCACAATCTTGTTCAGTTTTTCTTGGTGATTGCAAATATCTGGTCAGTTTTTCAGTCAGCGGCACAGTCCTCAAGATAATTAAAACTGACCTACCTTTGTTTTCAGAGACAACAGGGAAGCATAGAATACAATGTTGGAAGTACTTTCATGATTGAACCATTATTAGTGATTTTACTACATATTGAGGGTCAGTGTTCAATGTGTGGCAACTTAGTAATAAAACAATAAATTAGTTGGAAAATTTCTTAGGCCCATAGTAAAAAAATCAGCTTTCAACATTGTATGCCTCTCATATTTAGCAACAAATTGCAAAAAAAATGTTATATTTGTATCTGCCCTAGATGCTGAACTAGCCCTCCTTTAAATCTGCAATGAGCCCAAAATGTGTGCTTTAATAAAATGTCATTTCAGCATAAACTTCAATGAAATATTCAGCATGCATAGATGATAAAAATGTATATTATAGCTAGAGTTCGGAGTTTTCGGTTTAAACTGATAAAAACCGATAAAAGTATGTCTAATCCGTTTTCTAAAATTCGGTTTTAACCGAAAAAGGTCAGTATTTTAGGGCCGCGTCGAGGTGGGTGGGGGAGGGGGGGGAGGAGGGGGAGGGGGAGGGGAGGGGAGAGAAAGAGAGAGGACTTTGCAAGGTTCGACATTGTGCGACATCTTTGTGATTGCCTGCTTTAAAGGTTCAACATAAGGTTTTTCGCTTCATGCACTTCAGAGAACATCGAGGGAAGTTGTTAATACCTTTCTTAACACCCTCTCTCAAACTTGCCTGTTGCTGAAAAACATAAATACAATGGATTTTTTTTTTTTTTTTTTGCCATTCCGCTGGTTTTTTGTGCGGCCATCTCCTCAGACGGTCACGTTGTCAGAATGGGAAGGAAAAAGAAGCGCGCTAAAATTTATGCTCGCGAATTCCACGATTTTGAGGTGTGTCCTGACGGAAGCTGGTGTGTCCTGAGGGAAGTTGCAGCGAAGACCACTTATGTTTATGTGCCGTTATTCTTTCAGTGATCACAAATATCACAGCTACAAGGACCATCTCATCCGGTGTCCGATAGTGTTTCTTTCGTGTTCACCGAAAAAAAAAAGGTAAAATTTTTTGGAAATAAATATACACCGAAAAAAACTGAAAATTGGATTTTAAAATAAACACCGAACAAAGTATGCCGAATTTTGAAAAAATAAAAACCGAAAACGCGGAACCCTAATTATGGCACTAATATATTGATCCACAAAAGTAGAACTTTGCCAAAATAGCTGTAAATTTTAAAATCACCATTTCAAAAAAATTATTTTTAAGTAATTTTTGTCATCAAAGACCCATGTCGAGCTTCCTTAAATGGCAACTCTACTCAATTCCTAAAGTTTCGGGATAATGAGTGATTTTACATTAAAAAAAAAAACTAATAAAAGCCATTATGCCATTGCTTCGCAAAATATGGGATATATATTGTTGGATCTTACTTTAAACGTAGAAATCAAAACCGAAACGTCGGCACCGTCTGACAACATTTGCCCTGAGCCGCCAGAAACATAGCTATTACGGGGTACGAGATGACACGGGATCCTCTACGCAATAACGGGCAGGATTGGGGCGGGCCTGTGCCCGGCGCAATTGTGTCGTCTGCACTGCACACCGTTTTGGTGTCATTCAACGAAGTCTGCACAACTGCAGCATCAGTCTGCGGACGTAGTGGGAATGAAACTCCGAGAGACGATAATCATGAACGGTGAGAGTGAGACAACGACAGCGTTTGTGATGCAAGTAACGGCGGGATGACTCCCAAGAAGCGTGCTGCGTAGGCGTGTTCAATCACGTGGACACTGTTGAAGCTGAGCGCCGAGAAGAAACATTGCCGACTTCATTTGTTACGCTCACACCCAATATTGCTCGCCTGGAAAAGTGAAAACAAACAAGAAGGGGCAATAGTGATGACGTTTAGCTCAATGTTGGCTACGCCATCGCTGTAGCCTTGACTGCGCTGTTGGTTGCACCTCAATTCGCCCCGCTAGAGCCAGCCGATTCTGGCAACTTGGCGCGTTGCAATGTTTTTTGGACCATTTAAGAAACATTTAAAACAGAACTGGGTCGTAATATTTGATGCGTTCCTCCTAGGTAATACCAAAAAGGACTGCATTGTTTTAAAAAAAAAAAATGAAGTAGAGTTGCTCTTTGAAGAACACATGCAAAGGAAAACAAAACATTTTTTTTAAACAGCCTAGATGGTGGTGAATGCGCTCTTTCAGGAGCTTCCTTTGGGCTGTAAAAGTTACTTATTAATCTTAATTTTGTTGCACTTTAAAACGAAGATGAATAAGTAACTTTTAGAGACCATAGAAAGCTTCTAAAAGAGCACAGGCAAAACACATGAATAAAAGCCACTTTTCCGCGGCGCCCACAGGCGCCAACTACAAATTTGTTTCGCGCCGTAAATATAGCTTTAAAAAATTTTCTTTCTAAATTTGTTTTATATGGCTTCCTTTTTCCACCCGGGCTGTTTAAAAAAAATGTTTTTTTTTCCTTTGCATGAGCCCTTTAAGGGCCCTGCAAACGACCTTTTGACTGGTTTTTAATTTGCACCAAACTTGAGCGCACTAAACGTAGTAACTTAGTGAAACTTTTTTCGAATTTTGCTTTATATTAAAAATTGTAGGCAAATTAAAATTACCAAAGCAAGCAAAAAATATCCTCCTTCATGACATCCTTGGTTGCTTGAGTGGCCGTGAACTAG